AAAAAAAAAAAAAAAAAAAAAGTTTGTCATCAATATATTACCAACGTACACTTGGGTACCAAATACATTTTTGCTTACTATTTATTAAAACACATAATGGACTAATAGTAAATAAATTTTTTCTTAAAGTTTTTTTAAACTGTAAGTTTACACAGCTCCAAAAAAGTGGCACCTCTAGAAATAGTTTTAAATTTTCATATGATTTTTAACTTATATTTGGTTCTTCCCTTTCAGCTTAGCTACAGATTTGTTGGGGTTGACTGTTGCAAGTAAAATCTGTTGTTACAGTTTTGGAAAAAAACCCCAAAAAACAGCACCTATATATTTGATAAATCTGAATTGCAAAATAATGTTTCATTTACACCAATTTTATGTAACCCTTACCTTGAAATTGATGGGTAAACTTATTCTGTAGTGTTTTGGAGATGAGTGGGCAAGAGCCGACTTTTCCCAAAGAGGGTGATCCCCATCCCTATGATTTTTTTTTTTTTAGGGAACTGAGGAGGGATTCCCTGGGAACAATGAGCTTAATACGATTAACAGTAGAGTCCTTGTTCCCTTTCCATTTTCAACAGCAGAAGAAAAACGTGTTCATGATCTTCAGTGGCCTCTTTTGCCCATTTACTGTTTCCAGGCATCAGGATTGTATAGTTTGGATTTTCTTCTCTGTCAGTTCCCCTCCCCCAGTTTGATTCTTTGTTCTGGCCTTGAGGCACATCTTCTCAGACTAGCTATTAACAAAGCTCAGTTTGATTTTTTTTTTCTTTCCCATTAGATTTCTACTGATGCAGGCTTTGATAATGTGGCTCCCATCAGTCACATTTTTCATTAATTCTAGTAGAAAAATTAATCCCCCCCCATATTTAGTATTTTGAGGACATGTTATTTAGTTTTTGTTAGTGTGATTTTTGTTTGTGTGATGGACCAAAGTCCAAATTACGAAAAGGGGTAAGAATATGCTTACTTTTGTTAAAAGTAAAAAATAAAGTCCCAAGAAATCTGCTAGGACTGTTGGCTTTGCAGAATCTTGGTTCTAGATAACTTAACTGCAGTTTTCCAGGTCCCCTACTTCACAGTACTTTTTATTTATTTATTTTTAAAAGTTTTATTTATTTGTTTTTTTAGTTATCTTTACACTCAGCATGGGGCTCGAACTCACAACCCCGAGATTAGGAGTCGCATGGTCTTCTGACTGAGCCAGCCAGACACCCCTGGTATATAGTACTTTTTAGCTTATCTACCCCTTGCAAGGTTCTGGTAGGCAAGCCAGTCATTGATCTATGACTTTTTGGGGATCACTGTAGTCCAACTGCACATTTCCTGGGAGGGGGACATTTTGGAGATGGTGTTTCTTTGGATCCAGGGGATTATGGGGTACAGATTAGCTTGGGTTAGCACTCCTTTGGGTATTTCTCACCAGCAGTGTAATACTTGTATTAATGTAGGTTCTCTTGCCAACCTTCCACACTAGGCAGCAGTACTTGTTTCCTGCTTATGGTACTAGGTACATTCTGACTCAGATACCTTTTCCTATCCACCCCTCTTGTTCTGTAGGTACTAACCCTACCCCACAACCTTTGTCCTTCCCCCATAAAAAGGAGCAAAACAAAAGAACCATTTCTGAAATGAAACTTGATTTAAAACTAGGCCAGAAAGCCTTGGGCTTTCTTTACAGAAGTTCTGCCTGCTTTTCCTTTCACCTTCCTCTAATTAAATTAGATATCATAAAAATTCAAGTAATAAAACATTGAATTCATTTAAACACTAAAACTAATGATTGTTTTTTTCCCCCTATTTTTTATTTGAATGTACTTGGACATTCTTAAGTTAGATGTCAAATTGTTGTTTGTTGACTAGTAATAGTTTTAATTAATTTTTAAAAAGATTTTATTTATTTGAGCGAGAGCTCGAGCAGGGAGGAGAGGGAGAGGCAGGCTCCCCACTGAGCTGGTAGCCAGATGTGGGGCTCTATTCCAGGACCCTGGGATCACCCTGAGCTGAAGGCAGACACTTAACTGGCTGAGCCACCCAGAGGTCCCTTAATTTATTGAGTATTTATGTATCAGGTACTGATAAGTAATTTAAGCATTTTCACTTAATCTTCGCAAGAACCTTGAGAGGATTGATTCCCGTTTTATGATCATAAATCTAAGGCTCAAAGAAGTCTTTAAGTTGGGTACCTAGTTAGTAAGTGAAAGCTGGGAGTTGAGTCTAGATCTGGTGGACTCCAGAGCTTCTGCTCTTTTTTTTTTTTTTTTAAGATTTTATTTATTTATTTGAGAGAGAGAATGAGAGAAAGCACATGAGAGGGGGGAGGGTCAGAGGGAGAAGCAGACCCCCCGTCGGGCAGGGAGCCTGATGCGGGACTCGATCCCGGGACTCCAGGATCATGACCTGAGCTGAAGGCAGTCGCCTAACCGACTGAGCCACCCAGGCGCCCTGAGCTTCTGCTCTTAAACTGTATGCTAACAAGTAGTCATATTATTGTGGATTAGAAGTTATATTCCAAGAATCCGCTTCCTTTTGAAATCTCAATTATAAGCTAGAGACTATACTGTAATTAGAAATAGATATGTTAGTAGATATAATAGCTCTTTTTTATACTTTAATTGCATGGCATTTATACACTACCTGGATTTTCCTCCTATCCTTTTGTGAACCACATATGATGAGCTTCCTTGCTACCCCTCAATTTTCTCACCTTTAAATTGGGTTTCGCATGTGCAACAGACCCTTCACATGATGCAGCTAGATTGTGGTTGGTTGTTCCTATATACTCCATGTGGATTGGCTATGGCTATGATACAGAACTTGTAAATATATTGTTTTTTCTTGTACCGCCTCCCAACAGACTTGCCAATTCCAGCATGAACTTTAGGGTATAGTTATGGCTGTTGTCTTCATATATATACACCACTAGAATTATTGGTAGTCAGATTGTTGCTTTATTGTTATATTTGGAAGTTTGTAAGGTGAAGGTGAATGTTTTATTGGCTCACTTTCTTGCTGTACCAGAGGCTGCTTCCTCCAGTGCAAGAAAGCTGTTTATATGTTCATGTATTTTATTGCAGATTATTTTTGAAGAACTGCCTTTCATTTTCCTCTCCCACTTAAAAATATTTCCTTTCTTTTTGTGTATTATTTAAAGATTTTATTTATTTATTTGACAGAGAGCAGAAGCAGGGGGAGTGGCAGGCAGAGTGAGAGGGAGAAGCAGGCTCCCTGATGAGCAAGGAGCCTGATGTGGAGCTCCATCCCAGGACCTTGGGATCATGACCTGAGCTGAAGGCAGACACTTAACCGACTGAGCCACCCAGGCGCCCCTAAAAATATTTCTTGTTGGTGACCCAAGTGCACTCTTTTCTAGAGGGGAGGAAAACATCCATGGCTTTTTTCCCCTTCTCTTTTCCTTTTCTTCTTCCTTCCTTGCTTGCTTTATCCATCCACCCATCCATCTGGTAGATATTTATCTTTTTGGACTCGGATATTTAAGCATTAGCTTCTGCCACGATATTGATATATATATATTTTAAAGATTTTATTTGAGAGAGAGTGAGAGAGCAAGTGGAGCGGGAGGGGCAGAGGGAGAGGGAGAGGCAGACTCCCCACTGAGCAGGGAACCTGATGCAGGGCTCCATCCTAAGACCCTGAGATCACGACCTGAAACGAAGGCAGATGCAGAACCGACTTGAGTCACCCAGGCGCCCCTCAATATTGTTTTTATTTTATTTTTTAAAAGATTTTATTTATTTATTTGACAGAGAGAGACACGACGAGAGAAGGAACACAAGCAGGGGGAGTGGGAGAGGGAGAAGCAGGCTTCCCGCCGAGCAAGGGAGCCTGAGGTTAGGCTCGATCCCAGGACCCTGGGATCATGACCCGAGCCAAAGGCAGACACTTAACGACTGAGCCACCCAGGCGCCCCTCAATATTGTTTTTAATTGTTATTTGTTGAGCATTCCTTTTGGACAGGTGGGGACACCCCCAATTCACATTACTGATCTGGTTTGATTACTTTTCAGGACTTGGAGTTGGTTTCCTCAACCCCTGTTTTTCATTATCCATGTTTATAAACTGTGACAGGGTATATTGTATATGCTATACCTGACTTTTAAGCAGAAACAGTATTATACGGCAAAATAAGGCATCATCTCAAATTCCTAGGAAAAGGCCTTGTACTTGATATAGCATGTTTTGTTTTTGCTTGTTTCATATGTCCAGAGAAGGGAATGATCGGGAAGATTGACTTGTGTGTGACTAATAATACTACTTATATTAAAAAGAAAGGGCAATAAAATTCAATACCATTCCCCCCTTTTTTGTTTTCAGGATCAAAATACTTGCTGAACAGTGGAGTCACAGACCAATAAAAATAAGCTCCTACTTGAACGTCATTTGACTGGTTAGCCAGGTAATTCACTTTTACTTTGATTTCATCCTTTGTGATTTTCTGTCTACACCCTCTGAAGATCCTGACCTTTCCTTTTATGATTTAATCTTAAACTCGTGTCATATTTCATGTTTCTCTCTCTCTTTTTTTTTAGTTTTATTTATTTATTTGAGAGAGAGAGTGGAGGGAGGGGCAGAGGAAGAGACTCTTCAAGCAGACTCCCCACTAAGCGCAGAGCCCGAAGTGGGGCTCCATCCCGTGACCCTGAGATCATGATCTGAGCCGAAACTAAGAGTCGGATGCTTAACCGACTGAGCCACCCAGACACCCTCATGTTTTTTTCTTTAATGATAGCATTAATTGAATGACTGAATGGTCTTGAAATAAGTGGGTATATATGTATATTCATATATATGTGTATATATACAAACATAACTTTTTGGAGGAAGAAGGGAACTATGTGTTACAGTTTAATATGAGATACTACCCTCCTACCCCTTTTCCCTTAGTGTGAATACTTTAATGGGGTTTATTCAAAATCTGAATCCCACTTATTTTTAAAACTATTTCACCCTGTGAAGACTAGTTTCCCCAGATTGCTTGTGCTGGCATATAACATCTCATCTAGCACCAGGGTAGGAGAAATGAGAATAGAAAAAGTTGTCTGATAGCCAAGAAAGCAGTTATGCTTTGCTTAAATTTCTTTTTGTTAATAATAATACTGTCATTCTTTTGGTTAGCTCGGCTTGAAATCTGAGTCACCTTTGAACCGCCCCCCCCCCCCCCCCCCTTGATATATTAGCAATTTAGTAAACAGGCCTTATCTGGTTTTCTGTTTTCATGTCTCCTGTATTTGTACCACTTTCTGCTAATATCTTACTTCCTAGGCCAAGATCTTGTATTTATTCAAATGTCCCTTTACTCCCTCTTATCTACTGTTTCTAGCACTTGAAATTTTGCTTAGAAAATTTCCTTAAGTATGTCCCTTTAATTGCCTCTGTTTTGCTCTGAGTTTCTATTCCCTGGCTTACAGAAAAAAAGTACAAACTCCCTTCTCTGACATTTGAAACAGTCCTTTATCTGGGAATCTCTCTAAACCTCTGGTCTCAGCTCTTGCTGTTTCCCTATAAAATCCTTCAATTAATTATGGTATATACCCATTATATTCTGAACATAGTAGAGAACTATCTCCATGCTATTTATTAAAAAAAACCTCTTTATTTGGAAGTCATTTCCAATTTATGAAATTGACAAAAATAGAGTATAAAGAACATCTAGATAATCCTTTAGCCAGATTTACCCACTTGTTTATCGTTTGCATCTGTGTGTGCTCTCACTCTTTCCTTCCCTCTCTCTAAATGCATGCATAGTTCTTTTCTGAACTATTTGAGGGTAAGTTACATTTATTGAGCTTCTTTCTTCTAATACTTCTGTATTCCCTAAGAATAGGGTCATTCTCTTATATAACTATTGTACAGTTACCAACTTCATAAATGGACACTGACACAAATGTATGGTCTGTCTTCCAGTTTGGTCGGTTGACCTAATAAAGTCTGTTAACAGCATTTCCTTTGCTTCCTGTACAGAATCCAGTTTAGGGTCGGGTACTGCATTTACTGTATTTATTTCTCTTTAGCCTCCTTTTTCCTGGAGTATTTCCATAGCCTTTGTCTTTTATGGTATTGACATTTTTGAAGAACACAGCCCTTCCCCCCTTTTAATAGACTGTTCTTCATTTTATATTTCTCTGAAGTTTCCTTATGATTAGATTGAGGTTATGCATTCTTGGCTGGAATATTGTATAGGTGATGTGACATCCTGAGAAACATGCACAACTTCTGGAGACACATGATTTCTTCTGTCCCTTCTTGTGATGTTAATATTGATTTTTTGGCCAAGATGTTGCCAGATTTCTCCACTGTATAGTTTATTTTCCTTCCATGCAACAAGCATTTTGTGGGGAGATAATGCAAATACCATGGTTCTCATCACAATTTGCCCTAGATTTAACATTTGTTGATGATTTTTATTTGATCTTATTTTTCACTGTGTTGGTTCCAAAATGGTTATTTTCTGATTCCAGCATTCCCTTTATGAGTCAGCCCTTGACATTGTTCTGTAATCAAGGGCCCTGTCTGTCAGTTTGGACTCATGAATTACTAGGTTTTTCAGTTGATAAATTCATTACTCTACCTAATTATTTTGATGCTTCAGTTGTCCTAGGTTTAGAAAGTAGAACTCTTTTTTTTTTTGTAAATAAATATTTAAGCGATAGAAAGTGGAACTCTTAATCAGTCTCCCTGTCCTTATGGGGAGGAAAGTGTTAGAGACTAGGATCTTGCGGGGATGGGGGAAGGTGTCCTCATTGCTCGTGGGTTGACCCTTTCAGTGGATAGAGCTAGTAAAATATGCATGCTTATACACACATATGTGCATACACCAACATACTTGTACATAAGCACATTCATAGCAACATGCATATACATAGTTTAGAAATCATGAGTTTATATCAGTATGTCCAGCTTCACTCCCTGTCTACAGGGCTCTTTCTCTGCACTTACCATTTCATATTTTTATGTCCCTTTTTATGTTGTGAGAAAACTTGGCTCCCAACATTGTCAGTGCACTTACTCATTTACTCTATCCTATAATACATCTCAAATAATTTCAGAGTCATTTTGCCCATTTCACCACAGTAAACAAACTTAATTAAAGTGGAGAATTTATATGTAGTTCTTCACTGCCCAAGTGAAGAACTTAAAACCATCCTGCCCAAGACTGAGAATGAATAAATAAATATTGTATTCTTAAATTACTTGAATCAACCTCCCCTTCCTTTCTTGCTTTCCCTTTCCTCTGGACTTTTCACTTTTCACTCCAACTTTCTGTATTCATTTGAAATGTAATTAGGTTCCTTTGTTTTTCAGTTTTTTAAAAAGATTTTTTTAAGATTTATTTATTTATTTTTGAGAGAGAGAGAGAGAGCGCCCTAGTGCACAGGCCCGTGTGGGGAAGAGGGAAGGGGCAGCCAGAGGGGCAGGGGGAGGAGCAGAGGGAGAGGGAGAGGAAGAGAATCACAAGCCAACTCCCCACTGAGCGTGTGGCATGGAGCGTGATGTGCAGTTTAATCTTTTGACCCTGAGATCATGACCTGAGCTGAAACCAAGAGTCGGATGCTTAATTGAATGACCCACCCATGTGCACCCCACGTTTTTTAAAGTGGGCTCCATGATGGGAGCTGGGAGCCCCAGCGTGGGGCTTGAACTCAAGATCTTGAGATTATGACCTGAGCCAAAATCAAGTCGCTTAACTGACTGAGCTACCCAGGTGCTCCCAGTTTTTTTAATGCTCCTCATTCTGATTGGTTTTATTTTTGAATTTGTAGAAAACAAGGATATTTTCAAAAGTTAAAATTATACAAAAGATACACTTCCCTTCTGTATCCTTTCCATCCCATTTCCCCCATTTCACATAGGTAACCAACCTTGCTGTTCCCCCAGTCCCTTTCTCATTTATTTTTTACATAGTTTCCATTATGTGCATATACCATAGTTTACTCAAGCAGTAGCCTGTGTATAGGTATTATTTAGGTTGTTTCCAGTATTTTGCAATTAAAATAATGCTGCAGTGAATAACCTTGTGAATATATATTTTTACATTTTGGGAGTGTACCTTCAGGATAAGTTCCTGGAAGTGAGACTACTGGGTTGAAGGGTAAATGTGTATGTAGTTTTTGTTAGATACTGTCAAATCACATTCCATAAGGATTACACCATTTTGGATTCCCAACAGCAATGTATGAGAGTGACTGTTGTTTTTAACCACAGTCACACTGCAAAAGTTCTTTAACTCAGCATAATATATTTTTTAGATGTATCTGCATTATCGCATGTATCAGTAATTTCTTTTTATTGCTGAGTAGTATTCCATTTTGTGACTAGTTTCTCATTTTTGGCTACTGTGATGGACAAAGCTGCTCTGAACATTCAGGTACAGTACAGTCACTGTGTAGATTTTCCCCTCTTGAATAAATACCCAGGAGTGCAATTGCAGGGTCTTATGTTAAATGTATGCTTATCTTTTTATTTATTTTTTTTAAAGATTTTATTTATTTGACAGAGAGAGAGACGAGGAGAGAGGGAACACAGCAGGGGGAGTAGGAGAGGGAGAAGCAGGCTTCCCGCGGAGCAGGGAGCCCGATGTGGGGCTCGATCCCAGGACCCTGGGATCATGACCTGAGCCGAAGGCAGACGCTTAACGACTGAGCCACCCAGGCGCCCTGCTTATCTTTTTATTAAAAAAATTTTTTTTGTTTCAATTTTTAAATTAAATTCTAGGTAGTATATGCTTATGTTCTTTTTTTAAGATTTTATTTATTTGAGGGAGAGAGAGAGAGCGCGAGAGTGAGTGAGTGAGCAAGAGCGAGCACGAGCTGGGAGAGGGGCAGAGGGAGAAGCAGACTCCCCTCTGAACAGGGAGTCTGATGCGTGGCTCTATCCTAGGACCCTGGGATCATGACCTGAGCCGAAGGCATACACTCAACCAACTGAGCCACCCAGGCACCCCAAGTATATGCTTATCTTTATAAAAAAACCTGTGAAACTGTTTTCTGAAGTGGTTATATATTCCACCTGCAAGATAAGAGTTCAAGTTTGAATCGTTCCTATTTGGTATTGTCACTTCTTCAATTTCAGCCTGCATTTCCATGATATCTAATGATACCGTTAATAGTTTCTTACTAACCACACATATCTCTTCTTTTATGAAGTGTCTGTTTAAATATTTTGCCCATTTTAAAAATTGAGCAGTTTTCTTATTGTAGGCGTTTTTAAAAAGTATATATTCTGTCTACTGATTGTTCTCAGATACATTTTAAGAGTACTTTCTTTTTTTTCTCCCTTTTATTTTCTTAACTTTTTTTTGAAGAATAGGCATTTTGAATTTTCAAGTACAACTTACCAATTTTTTCTTTTGTGGTTAGTGCTTTTTTTACGTACTAAGAGATCTTTGCCTGTTGTAGG